ATGTATGTATGTATGTATGTATGTATGTATGTAATGTATGTATGTATGTATGTATGTATGTATGTATGTATGTATGTATGTATGTATGTATGTATGTATGTATGTATGTATGTATGTATGTATGGTATGTATGTATGTATGTATGTATGTATGTATGTATGTATGTATGTATGTATGTATGTATGTATGTATGTATGTATGTATGTATGTATGTATGTATGTATGTATGTATGTATGTATGTATGTATGTATGTATGTATGTATGTAATGTATGTATGTATGTATGTATGTATGTATGTATGTATGTATGTATGTATGTATGTATGTATGTATGTATGTATGTATGTATGTAATGTAATGTAATGTAATGTAATGTAATGTAATGTAATGTAATGTATGTATGTAATGTAATGTAATGTAATGTATGTATGTATGTATGTATGTATGTATGTATGTATGTATGTATGTATGTATGTATGTAATGTATGTATGTATGTATGTATGTATGTATGTATGTATGTATGTATGTATGTATGTATGTATGTATGTATGTATGTATGTATGTATTAATGTATGTATGTATGTATGTATGTATGTATGTATGTATGTATGTATGTATGTATGTATGTATGTATGTATGTATGTATGTATGTATGTATGTATGTATGTATGTATGTATGTATGTATGTATGTATGTATGTAATGTATGTAATGCATGTATGTATGTATGTATGTATGTATGTATGTATGTATGTATGTATGTATGTATGTATGTATGTAATGTATGTATGTATGTATGTATGTATGTATGTATGTATGTATGTATGTATGTATGTATGTATGTATGTATGTATGTATGTATGTATGTATGTATGTATGTATGTAATGTAATGTAATGTAATGTAATGTATGTAATGTATGTAATGTATGTATGTATGTATGTATGTATGTATGTATGTATGTATGTATGTATGTATGTATGTATGTATGTATGTATGTATGTATGTATGTATGTATGTATGTATGTATGTATGTAATGTATGTATGTATGTATGTATGTATGTATGTATGTATGTATGTATGTATGTATGTATGTATGTATGTATGTAATGTATGTAATGTATGTATGTATGTATGTATGTATGTATGTATGTATGTATGTATGTATGTATGTATGTATGTATGTATGTATGTATGTATGTATGTATGTATGTAATGTATGTATGTATGTATGTATGTATGTATGTATGTATGTATGTATGTATGTATTTGACGTGTCCCGGGGGGGGGACTAAGGGGGGGGTTATCCTCTATCCTCTCTTAGGTATCCAATAGTCCTCTCTTAGGTATCCGACACGCCGAACAATGTCGGCGGATTTTCCTCAATCCTGAAGACATCTTTCTGCATGTCCTCCCAGGAATATCCCGAATGCCCGGTTTTGGGTAGCTTGTGCCATGGTTCTGGCGGTTCTCCGGGCTAGGTCTCCTTGGAAAAGGCCGCCTCCAGAACTCGCAGCTGTGCCTTCAGGCCCTCCCAAAGATGCCATTGCCAACTGCGCCACGGAGCTTTGACTCGCTTGCTAGGTTTTCTTTTCGGTACCAACTTATAAAATAACACTCAAGCTTCAACGTTCAGTCAGAGTTGCCTTAAACTTGTTGGGTCTGGACCATTTTAGTGGTAAAATTGAGGTTTGGACTTGTTTTGGCCAATCCACTCGATCGGAAGTGAGTGAGCCACATTACTTTTGTTGCCAGAAGCTGTGGCAGAAGCGCGTCTTCGACGCTGAGATCCCGCACTGCTTAGCTGCCTGGCTAGAAGCAGAAGTGGATACGTAGGGGCCTGTAGTGCTTGCAGGCTCTTCATAAACAAAGTTCGTATAAGGGATATGTACTGGTGTGGAACAGCGTGACCCCCCCCCCCCCCCCCCGCAAACCAGATGATCTTTGCGCCATGTTTTGCATGCGCCGTTTTCCAGCCAGCTACTCAACCCTCGCCATATGTTGGGCTGCTTCCAGGCTTTGGGCTGTTGCCAACAAACTATGTTGCACTGGCGGGTGACTTTAAACCAAGCGGTTGCCAATCTTTGGCGTCAGTGCACCACACCCTACTGGGGGTTCAGCCTTTTAACTGAGGAGACGGGTCCCTGATTTCCATGGTCTGAACCAGAGAGAGCCTTTGTTTTTTCCCCAGCAACCCGCGTTTCGCCCGCCCAGGATCTTGATGCCGGGCGCTCGGAGAGGGCATAGCCGAAGTGTCCTGCAAGGATCCAAGTAGACAACCGATCGTTTTGTGACCTCCATTTTCAGCCCAAGAACGGGTCGAAAATACTGAACACTAGCCAGGTCAGACAGCTACGTACCTTTGGACGTGTCATTTGTTGGACCCCTTCACCTTTCCAACAAAGAGACACGTGAAATCCGTGGGTCAAGCCACCTATAGGTGACAAGAGAGGCTTCGGATGCGCCGGCCCCTTGGACAGATGCGCATCATGGGACTTTGTTTGATGTTAGCATCGGATAGAAGCAGAAGCCGGCGGTTTTTTTTTCTTCCATTTTTTTTTAAATAAAAATATACATGTGTACGGATATATATATATATATGTATATATATATATATATGTATATACATGGTACCCCCCCCCCCCCCAAAACCCACACTTTTAGCTAAAACACTGGTATTTGCCTGGAAAACGCACAAAATGGCCATGATCCCAGAAAACCAGAAAACCCTCGAGAAAACCAGAAAAACCTCGAGAAAACCAGAAAAACCTCGAGAAAACCAGAAACACCAGAAAAACCAGAAGTGTCAGAGACTTGTAGCTCAAGATCCAGAAAACCAGGAAAACCTCGAGAAAACCAGAAAAACCAGAAAAACCAGAAGTCTCAGAAACTTCTGGGCCAAAGTGTTTCTAATTGTTCAATCCTGGCCACACATTCTTGAATAGATTTAATTATTAAAGTATCCGCTCTTGTTTTTTCATCCATACTGTTTTTTATTATTATTATCGTTTTTACTTTGACTAATACCCATTATATATTATTATTTAGATTTTTCTTTGTTCAATTCCTTAATCTATTTTTCTAATTTTCCAACTTTATCTATTACTTCCAGTAAAGCTTTATGTAATAATATAGGACCGTTTCCATATTCAATACCTAAATATATTCACGTTCGGTATGAACTACATTACTAATTTCTTTTGGAACTGCTTTTAATAAATCATCGGCAATATAACCTATATGGATTGCATCCTTATCGTCGCTATCTTTTCTCTTGAACTTTTTAGGTTTGAATTTCTTAATCATACTAATACAATTGCTTTTAAGTAAATCTACATCATATTTTAATCTTGCATAAAATGTGCCGCGCGCATCCATGAAAGCATGGTCATGTGTATGTGTAAACAACCATCTGTCTTGCTATCAAGGTCAACCATCTACCTCTGCTTAAAAGTCAACCATCTTTCCATATCAAGAGCATCTGACTTTCTGATGTTGAAAATGCGGTGTTTTTTTTTTTTTTTGGGGGGGGGGGCTAGCATATATATATATATATGTATATTTGAGGATGAGGGGATTCTCTAAAATGGGACACCCTCATACTGGTCGGCATTTTTCCGCACTTCATGTGGGTATGTATGAAACTAGGGAGACCTAAACATGATGGCTTTCCTTTTGATTTTGTCTTGACACCGGTACCCTCAAAAACACAATCACAATGTGCGTCTTGAGTCTATGAGCGACACAGTCCTTCGGCGTCTCCCAGCATGACAGTTGGACGTGAGTTGGCTACGCACGATCCACTCGACCAGTGCACTCCAGATGAGCATGGACCCACAAAACCATTGGTTTTAGGAATCTCTGGTTGGGGATGTCTTTTTTGGGGCCTAGTGGGAACCCAGTTGATCATAGAGCGGATCCGGATCACTTTGGGGAACCTCCTGTCAATCCGGCAGACTAATTAATGCGGATTCAGCCACTATACGGTGACTCAGTGACGAAGGGTACAGCACTCCAAAAAGTAAGCCAAACGAAGCACAGACGCACGTCATAATTAGGCTTCCTTGGTAAATAGCCAGGTTACAAACCCCAGGTTCCTGCTGAACAAGTGACCTGCTCCAGTTCGGATGATACCAAGAGGTGCCGGGCTTGGGCCTTGTCCGTCATTTGTTTGTTTGTTTGTTTGTTTGGTTGGTTGGTTGGTTGGTTGGTTGGGTGGTCTATGCCGAGCATTTGCAGGCTGTGGGTCAAACATAGCTACTCACCGTGGAGCCCTGGAAAGTGGAACCAACCTGCGGCTTTCCGGTGGTTTAAGTTTGGCCCATACCCATTTTGTCCCATCCAAATCAAGGGCTCAAGGGCTTCATTTGTATAGGTGGGCCTTGCGAGCATCTCCGACCAGGCGGGGGAATTTGTGCTGGAATCGCTCCAGGGAAAGTCGAGAGGACTCCAGCCCCTCAATGCCTCTCCCGTTTCATAGGAGCCAAACCAAAACCCTCCGCCTTGTTTCTTCCAAAAGGCCTCAAGACGTCCTTACGGTCTGAAGTTGGTGAAAGAGTTTGGGTACCAACCGGCCCCCTGGTTGACAAGGAAAATCGCCGCACATGAATCCGCCAGGTTCTGCTTGAAAGTGGGATCTATGTTGGGCTGCTCCTCTGCTGGTTGTTTCCTTGGTATGCAGGGTGAGGGCCCATGTTTCTCCCAACAAGGTGTGTGCGAAGTATGGCTTGCACTGATCTAAGTGCTGCAGACATATACAACGCACTTAGAGAACACAGACGCAGTTATTGTTTCTTGTTTTGGGTTGCGGGGTGACAATGTGTAGGACGCTGGGATCTCTGACTGAACTTATGTTACATGTTCAGAGGAACCACCCAGAGGACGCTGACCATTTCGTGGGTTCCTCTTGTTTGACACACACCCCTATGGGCCAGAATCAAACATATGATGGTACCCTGTTCGGTGTAGCTGCCACAGCCAACACACACAAACACACAAACACGCAAGCACACAAATAGACAAACAAACAAACGCACACACACACACACACAAGAAAACAAACCAAACACAGAACCACACACCCACAAGCACGCACACACACACACACACAGACATTCAGGCAATCAACTTCACCACTCGCAGCTCCAGTGAGCTCTGACACGTTGCTTTTTGGGGCAACGAACAGCCCGCTTCGATGTTGGCTTTACAGCGTACTCTGGAAATTCACCCAAGGGTTCCAAAACAGGGGTCAGTTTCCAAAGGTTCCAATGCCAAAAATCCTGAAAAGGCTGGTTTTGTGGGCTCCGTGAAAATAATGCAGTGCCGGAGGCTCTCCGGCCAATTTCAGGCTCACAAGCCCAGGTGAAAGCGGCATTCGCTTAGTGAGCAAACTGGATGTGCAGGGAATGGCCGAGGCTCGAGATCCAGTCCAGCTGCCAGAGAGAACTGCCAAAGTGTGAAAACCATGGGACCAGTGAAGACTTACTGTTGCTTCTTTGGGAAGGGGAGTTTTTCATGGACGAAGTCGCTGACCCGCAAAGCGCTCCGCTGAGTGCGTGATTTCCTGCCATGGCGATGTGCATCGATGTGGCAAGCAGCCCGCTGGGAGCAGAGGGAGCCGCCGAGGAGGGATCTTTGGAATGTAGGGAGATGCTCATGACGTTTTCTCCTCTGTTGTCTATCCGGCGCTTAGTTTCTCTACACCCTCCCTCCAGACCTGCCTTGGCACTCTTCACCCCACTGGAACTCGCAACACCACAAAAACCAAACATCATTTTGGGGGTAGCCCCATATTGCCACTTACCCATATCTATTTTTTGGGATCCGAATCCCCCTACTATGCGCCTGAAAGGGGAGTTTCTTGAAGAGGGAATTGGTCTTCCTGGTGCCTCCAACAGATGCCATGTTAGTGAGGGAGAGGGTACCCGTTTGGTATCCGTTTGTTGGACACTAGCTTTGCTCGCGCGAGTCTTCCGAATCGAGCGAGACTCCAGGCGCTGTGCCGTGCCTTGCACGGCCCGTTGAGCGTGCGCTGGCAGGCGCGGGCGGGGATATTGGACATGAATTTAAATCAGGGACCCTTTGGTGGACATCATTTAGGTGGGGATTTATGTCCACCGACCACTTTTCAGGGGATTTCCCATAAACATTCATAGCCATATTGGACATGAGGTTCCGTCAAGTTTTCAGTGGTCTGCGGTCCCAAAATGGGGACAGGAGGACGAGCTCTAAACTTGCCATGCAAAAAGCACAGGGACGAACCCCAATTGTCCCGTTCCCCTCCTAGAACGCTCACATGTCCAGACCTGACGGGTTGGAATTCCTTGCCCCCCAAGAAGGTGGGTGGGCGATTTTTGCGTTGGGACGGAAGCCCCAACAAAAAAACACTGGGACCACCACCAACTGGTGCCACGTGCATGTTCTGCGTTCAGCGAAGCTTCCCTTTCTATGGCTTTTGCTTCTTACCTCGCCTGAAAGTGGGAGCCGGATCTGTTTGTCCCAAGGCAATCGCAGCTGTTCGGCGCTGGAGGACCCCTAGGTGTTCTTTTTGTTTTCTTCGAGTTGCGGCTGCAAGCTGGCGGAAGGACGCGCCACCATGGAGTCTCGGGCGATCCGAGCCATGAGCGCGTCTTGTGGCCCAGCTTTTACGCCCTTGTGTGGAACATGTGGCGCCGCATTGGATATTTTTCAGTAGTAGACCATGTCAGCCAGAAGACAAGTTGTCCATGGAACAGTACCTCCACCCAGCGTTGTAAGAATTGAGCTCCGGGATGTTTGGATTAGGCCATTGCCATGCGCTTACTTGCCTGATGTTGCGGCCTTCGATCTTGGCTGTGCAATCAAAACCCAAACTTTCTTGGGCCATGGATGTTCTTTCAGTATTTTGGTCGGGGTTATCCGGTCAATAATGGCAACCAAGCCCGTCCCCCAATAGAAATAGACACGCGGGCCCTCCAAATCTTCAAGTCCACGAGCAACTGTGAACACACGAAGCCCGAAGTCGCATGGCAAGTTCGGCGCCTGGTTGTTGATTTGGCAAGCTTGATCCCCTAAATGGCCGAACTGGATACCAAATCGGTTACCAATAATATTTGCATTGAGGCTGCAATGGAGAGGCCCGAATGCACGCAAGCAAAAAATACATGCGTCTCGGGTAGATGAAAGTCACAGGGGGGTCTTTCCACGCCGTTGGTTCTGTACCATAGGTTTTGCGGGACCCTTTAATTTACCAGGTTTCGAGGCCGCCCATTTGCTTCAAGTTTTTGTCACCCGGCTTGAACGGGCATGGGTCTCGCCGACTCGAAGGCTGCTAGACCCTCAAAGCCCTCAGAGCCCCAAGGCTTTTGCAAGGTGGGGTCAGGGGTCTCTACTGAGGGAACCTTGCGCAAAACAGGTTCTAACACAAGGCTTCCAGCCTCATGACAACCATCCGTGTAGCGCCGTGACCCCATCTGTCAGAACGCAGAGTCACCCAATTTGCAGATTGTTTGTCGCAGCGTGCCTGTTTGAACCCCATCGGGGTCGGCCGTGCGGAAGCTTCAGTTCGCTCAAGAACCCATTTGCTAGAATGGAACCTCAGTCTTCTCAAGAGCCCCATTTGTTGGACCTTGGACTTTCACCTGGGCACGAGTCAATTCTTTCTTGACCCACGCCCACTTGGCTTTGGACCCCAAAAAAATTCTGCGGCACGGGTTCCTTCGGGCCGCGAGGTGCCGCTGGAGAACGGCTTCGTGGCAGCCCTGCAGGCCCAGCTCCAGGCCCAGCGGGGGTTGGACTTGGCCATGCCTCAAAACCAATGGGATCCCGTTTTGGGGTTTTCGGTGCACCGGGGTAGGGTGAATTCACCACCCATTTTAGTCCTATTTTAGTGGTGTGCGGGATGTTCGCTGGGGGTACGGGGTTTTGAGCCATCGCCACTTAGCGATTGTTGTGTTTGCCGGGCCTTGGACAACCGAGCTTTTTTTTGTTGGGCGGCTTTGGGAGTTTTGGAGCTCAAAACAGGTTGAGCAATATTGGTGTTTGGCGGCGCCTTGGACAACCGAACCCATTTTTTTAGGAGTTTTGGAGCTCACAAAAGGACTAGTTTGGAGTTTCGGAGGGGTTTAGGTGATGTGTACTTCATCGAAACTGTTTTTTTTTTTTTTTTTAAGGACATATCCCCTGTGAATTGTTTTTCTTCGATCTGTTCTTCGAACTGGGAGGCTTCTTTTAAAGTTGCCTTGGCCTGGGTTCGGAAAACAATCGGGTGTTTGCCTGCATGTGTGTGTGCCACTTTGCTTGAGGCCACTACCTGCGCGGTTCAGAATTAATCCGCCAGATCCTTATACCAGATGGATGATGCGGTTTCGCTTGTGGTGCTTCACTACGGGAAAACCGGATTAGGATTCATTGGGATCCTCATGCAAGGGTGGACTTCAATCCCCATGTGAATCATGTCCACCAAAAAGTTCCTCATATCCACATGCAACGCAAGGGGGGAGATCCTACTATGGCTTGGAAATCAATCACGGACTGATACCTTGGGAAGACCGCCAGAACTGATGCAGCCGCTGAGCCACAATATTTGGTCATAGACAGCACTTCGAGCCCCGGAAAACCTCGAGCAAACTGTGGTTGCAGCATCAACTAGTTGATGCCTGCGGGAATGTATCAAGACCACAATCAAAACCCGGTAAGATGAAGGTTGGTAAGGGACACCATAAATGGGTGCAGCCGTCTTTTGATTTCTTGACATGGTAGATTAATTTAATGCAGGTTTTGATTTTGACTCATTTGTCTTGGAGATCACTTGAAGGAACCTAGCACCAATTGTTCCTGTTCCTGGAATTCCCTGAAAATAGTGTCCATGTCCAAATGAACAAGTCCATCGCCTCCCTTGGATATGTTCAGGGCTATTTGGGATTAGTTTTGGGTTATTTGGGGCTATTTGGGGTTGTTTGGGAGCCGAGTAATGGTTTCGGGGGGCTACACCCCGTTCTGCTTATGTCGCATGTAAACACCTACCTCGCCATGATTTGCGTCAGAGTTGGGTGAAAGATGGCACACACCTCGTGTGGGTGTAAATCATGCCTGAAGCTTTGGGATGGATGAACCCCCATTAGCACGGGGATAAACCACCTCCAAATGTCCGGACATTTGTAGGTATGCGTCGGGACCAAGATCGGTGCGAGGGGGGGGGGCTCGGGTGGGTGGGAGCAACTTGAATTGTACATGATGGACCCTTACAGCAATGTAGGAATCCCTTGTATCGTACTTTGTACTGCATGCGCATGTCACCGCTTGATATCTTTGCGTTCCGCAGTGGCTTAACCCACATTCTCACAGAGACTAGCTGCGCAACCATGAAATACATGTCAGTCTCCGCGCCTGTCATTCTGACTGCTTGAGTATATATCACTGTATTGTTCTGTTCATCTTAGAATGCGTCAATCATTCAATATCCTTTGAGCCCATTTTTGCACTTTACAGGGGGTGGGGGGGGGGGATGGTTCCGTTCTTGCTCATGGAAAGCACATCTCACGAGTTCTGCATGTGCAATCATGGTACCTCTACGGAACGGCATTGCTTGCTAACTGAGTAAAAGGCTCGTCTTCTTACTGCTTTTCACGTGTTTAGACTAAGATCAGTAGACGTGGTCCATTTGCATTCCTTCCAAAAACCAAATCACATTTTTTGACGCAAATCACAATGGAATTGACCACATCCACTGATCTTGGTCCCGACGCATGGCTCCATCTGCAGTAGAATCTGTAGGAGGGTACCTGGAAGATTTTGACCCAGTTGCCATGTTCGACATTGCCACCCCTCGCGGGATTTGTGTTCGACACCATTTTTTGCCGGTGCTCAGTAGGGAATGAGGGAGTGAACCCAGGCTTTGGTCCCCTGAAAGGAAACCACCAGTTGGATGGTCTTTTCTCTGGGTCAGACTCCTTTTCTCCTTCCCTGCCGATTTCCAGCGCTGCGTTTTTTCCGCTCCGGTTTCTCGCTCGTTCGATTTTTCGGTTTTCGAAGGAGCCCTCGGAGAGCTGGCCGCCGCGGCAGGTGCAGCTGCAGCTGGCGCGGCCCGGGCTGCCGGCGCTGGAGATGCAGGCGGGCGAGTTTGAGGAACAGGGCCAGGGGGGATTGGTTTAGGGAATACGTGTTTTGCTTCTTCTTGTTTTGGGGGGAGGGGGTTGAGTTGTGTGTGGGATTTGTTGGTTTTCGTTTATCAATGTTTTGTTTGGGGATTTTGTTCAGTCTTTGAGTGGTAGACACCGCTGATTTTTGAAGGGATTTTACTCAAGGTCAGCTTAAGGTGGGTTTGGAGTTCCACTTTGACCTTAAGGGCCTTAAAATGGGGGCCGGGCCGGTTCTTGTTTTCAGAGGCGTTAGTGGAAAATCAATGTTCCAGAGCCCTGTCTTGCTTTATGGCACGCCCGCGACCACCGCGTAAACACGGAAATCTATCTCTAAAAGGGAAACCCCGGAAAGCAGACCAGGCAGTCCTTCGAAGGACCTAAACTGGAGTCTGCTCGCACAAAGTTTCATATGTCTGAAGGCATTGCTGGTGTACAGAGTTGGGCCGGGGGATTCTTTCCTGACATCCATGTGGCTGTGGTTGTCAAAGCCAATCAGATCCCATTTTGGTTAGGTGACTGCACCACCCATTTCCGAACCTTTGGTGGTTGGATTGGGTCGGATGTTCACTGGGGCCATGTCTCCTTTGCGGCGGGTCCCGCCGCAACGCCCTTGGCGGAAGCGCCAGGTGCCCTCGGCCTCTTCCCCGCAGCAGCTGGCCACTTTGATCACAGCGGCGCGGCGGGTGGCCGAAGGCGCCGAAAGCTGAGGACTCTGAACCAAGTTATAGACAACATGCGGAGCAGAATCTGATCTCATTTTTGGAGGACTTTATGGGCCAAGAGCAGGATTGCTTATTGTATATTCTCTTCACAATGGGCTTGTTCTACCCAACACAAGTGGGTCGGGAACCTAAAGGAGTGTATATTTCCTCTCTCAGCATTGCTTGTATGACATGGATATCGTCATTTGATTTGTAATCGGGAAAAAGGCACTTGGTCACTTGCCTTGAAATCAGCTTGTTTTGGCTTCATGTTCAGCTGGGGAGTACGAACAAATACAAACGGCTGAAGAATTGTACGCCGGTGGTTTAGTTCAATACCAGCGCCCTTGAGGGGAGACCCACCCTATCGAAGGATTAAAACTTCCAGGGTCCCCTCTAGGGGTGTGACGAGTGTGTGATTTGTGCAAACCACTGAACCACGTGTCGTTTTGGTTCCTGGATCTTTTGGTTGAACATCTCCGCCCAAAACGATGCGTGGCAATCCCCCCCCTTTGGCAGGCCGTGCTGATGAGGCGCATGGGGACTGGGACGGGTCCCCTGATCAACTGGGAGGTTTGCTCGCGGAGTGGAGTGGAGAGGTGGGTTGTTTTTGGGTGTTCGGGTCAGGTGACCTGCCGTTCTTTTCTTTTTTTGTTGGACCGTTCCAAGGATGCTCAAACAGACACAAGGAACCAAGCCCAAGGGCAAAGTGATGGGTAAAGAAGGGTTCTTGGTAGCATTGGCCTGGTTAATCACTCAAACGCCTCCCGATGCACCTGTCCGTAGCTGGCAGTGGTTCCAAAAGGCTCCAATGATCTCCTACCTCCAAACGGTCCGACCTGGCAAAGACTTGGATCAGCTAGCAGCAATTGTCATTTCGAATTCCGTGGCTGCACAAATTCCACTTGGCACAAGTATTTTCCCAGTATATTCAAAGGGTGTCATCGATTCCGAAAGTGACCGCTGGGGAGCAGTTGAAGAAGAGAACCAACATGAACGAATCATTTGGGAGTTTGAGCAACACATACCCGTCTTCGACGCTGTGCTCCCGAGAAGGGGCTTCAAATTAAGAGATGGTTTACAGAACCATTCCTTGCATACATGTTCCCGGTTGTTCGGTTGGCACTTTCTTTGTCCTTGCAGTTGCCTACTTAGTATGACCAGCAACTGGGATATGCAGCACCTCGTGAGATTCTTACAAGTATGGCGCCCTGTTCATCTTTGCGAGTTGTTTTCGTAGGCTACATTTGGCAGCACCACATGAGCAAATGCCAATCAATATTCTACCCAAATTCCAAACAAACTGCGCGGATGAAACAAGTTCTCTTCGTGTTGTTTTGCCCACAGAAACCTTTTTTGGAGGGTTTTGGACCCAACCCCGTCGATCGGTTGACGCCCGGATGCCCCGAGGTTCCCCCGGAAAAGATTTTGGAAGCGGAGTTGGAGGTGGTGGACGAGTGCCAGGACATTTGGACAGACAGGTGGAACCCGGTTTCCTTTTTGGTTTCCCTTTTGGTTATTTGTTGGTTCCCTTTTGGTTTACTCTTTTGGTTTTCCTGAAGAATTCGAAAGCATGGGTGGGTGGCACTTCATTTCCCTTTAAAACAGCAACCAGAAAGAGTACCATGGGCTGAAATGCGTCATGACCGCTGAATGCGGCCGGCTGGGGAGCAGGGCTTGGCAAGTTTATGGCAGACATCAAGCAAATGAGGTCCAGACCCCCGGTGCTGCCACTTCCTCGTTTCGCAGGGCTCCCTATGTTTCCCCTGTGAGCATCACCTAAAGAGGAACAAGAACCCTGTTTTGAGAGCGCGTTCCCCCTAAAAGCCACCAGAAAAAAGGGGGTGCCCTTTTCGGCATGTCTGCTGTAGGGGAAACTATCAAGAAGCCAGACCCATCTGCTGCTCCGCCAGTTTGCCATTTTTGTTCAGAGCCGCTTCTTCCTGTAAGTGAAGGTTTGGGGAGGACCAGTTTCCGCACTAAAAGCTTTCCACCCTCAACTCTTTACCATGAATTGGCAGAATCTATCAACACCAGGTTTGATTGTGACTCAGGTGGAAGGGGGCCGCTCTGCGAAATGGATTTCGTCCATCCACAGTATGCCCCCCCCCCCCCCACCCCACCCCCCACCCCACCCCCCACCCCCCCCCCACAGACATGTCCTATGGTATGTGTCAGAATCCGATGTATATGAAGGTTCCTTCTGCTCGACCCGGCGGCTTCGACGATTCGAGCGGCAGGAGCGGAAGATTGCGCAGCCGCTGAGCATCAGGCAGTGGCACCACGGCGTTTGTGGCCACCATGCGCTCTTCAACCTCCGCCGCTTCGCTGGGTTTCCGATGCTTCCATTTTTGTTGTTCTTCTTCTTTCCCTCCTTCTTCTTCTTCTTCTTCTTCTTTTGCTGATCATTTCTATACTTCATGGTCGCCGATACTGATTACTTCACCTCCTGTAGGGTGATAGGGAACATCCTTTCAAACCCCCGTCCGGTGCTCCGACGCCTTCCAGGCTCCCTTGGCTGAAAGTATCCGTCCATACGAAATGTATGGGCGAATGGACCATGGGTTCACTTGGACACAAACGACTCTGCCATGGACGTCTTCATTCGCCTTTATTTTTTTACACGTGCCAAGCAAGAGTCCTGTCTTGAGGGAACTTGCGGACACGCCGCCCAGGGTGCATGCTGCGCGGCGATTTGGACGCGCTGCGGGATGAGCCGAAGTTTTGGCAACAAGCGCTCGCTGACATGCAGCGACTGGGCTGTCAGATGGGTTGACAAAAATATGGCTGACCCTCAAGCAGGAACGATGGTGCCGCCCAAGGTGCTGCCCTTTTAAGGGGATACCAAGAAGGGCCCGTAATTTTGAAACGTGCTTGCCGCCCCCTGCCCCCCCCCCCCCCTGCAAAAAAAGAAGCCAACAACACATAGGCACATGGTTGGTTTCCTTTTGGTTACCTTTCGAGCGGACGGTTGCCACGCCCCACCTTCGTCCTTCGTCCGCCGTCCGCCGTCCGAGGCGCCTGGCGAACTTCGGGGAGCAGAGTGGGCGCTGGCCCAGGAGGGCTTCGGCGGGGGCTGAGTGGGCGTCGTTTGGGCCGTTTTTGGGCAGGTGGAGATATGGGCCTCTCATGTGTTTTCTCTGGAAAACGCGAGGCACATCTCTCTTTCTTTTGGAGGAATAAATTGGGCGGGCTCTAGTCTATGGGCTCATTTGGGGATGGGGTGGGACTACCCAATCTCAACAAGTGTCGCACAGAAGCTTTGGATGGCTTTGGTGTGATTGCGTGTTTCTCATGTACATGATGCCAGGCAGCGCTGCTTGGCAGAGAAAGGTCGTCTTGTGGGTTTCGGTCGATTTCACCCCAACATAGGGCGTTTCTTCATGGCGTTTCTTCGTGGTTCCCTTCTAAAATCAGCCCTAGGCTGCATAGCTACATGTAATTCCCTCCTTACCCCTCCCCCCAAGAAAGACGAAGACAGCCCAATTTGCTCTTGCTTCCCGTTTGGCGTTCTCCTTTCGGGCGCGCGGGCGGGCTCTTCTTTTGCGCTTCGCTCGGTTGGCTCGTTAGGAGCCGGGTGCTGTGTGGCGTGGCCGACGAAGTGCACCTGAGGCGCCGTTGGGGACCCGCGTGGCTGGGTTTTGGCTCAAACCAAGAAACTAGTCCAACCAACTTGGGAGGTTTGGTTGGTTTTGGGGTGAAACCAAGAAGCCATCTACGGGTGGAAGGACATACCCCTTGGCTTCCCTGGTTTCCGACACTAGACTTTGTAAGGGGTTTATACCCCTTTTTGGGGAGAGGGGTATGTACAAGCACCCACGGAAACCAACCAACTTGACCAACCTCCCCACGAAACAGGCAACAGATGGCTAGCTGGTTGTTGGTTGGACGGATCGCACAGGAGCAGGAACTGGACGACCATTTACCCACAGTTGCAACAAAGAAACATGGAGGCTTCCAATCACCCGCCAGATAAGGGCCCTGCCAGGCGAGTTTCGACCGGTTCAATATAAGGTGCTAAATAATGACACACACACACACATTCTATCACCTTCCCTTCTCATGACCTTGGCTTTAAAGTCCCAACCCCATTCCGATGACAGGGTTCCATATGTTTTCCCTCAAATCACCACCCCTACAAAGGGAACTCAACTTGAAGAATTGGCAGCGGGTCCTTCCTTAATGAAGTTGGTTGTAGTTTCTCACTTCTCCAACAAGCATTTGACGTTTTCGGCAGCGCTTTCGACCTGCGCCGTCAGTATCGCATATGAGTACACACAAAGTAAGGGAATAGGAGTACATTCAAAAAGGATCCCTTCCTTGAGTGATAGACCATCCTTTTTTCTCTCTTTTTCGGGGGAGGTTTTCCTTTTCAAACCAACCTAATAAAAGGCTGCCCCTTTTTTTCCACAATCCACCGGGCTTCTGACAGGACTTTTGTTGACTCAGGTGAGGGCAGGGGCAAGTCCTCGGAACTGTCATTGCCATGGTTAGCCCGCCAGAGAAATGGCCCATTGCCCAAACCACGCCCCCTTGCCACCGTCAGGATCTATGTTGGTATGGAAGGGTACTGGGGATGGCATTGTCTAAGATACTCGCATAAAGCCAACGGGTTGAGCACAGGTCGGATGGCATTCAGGTATGTGAGGAACATGGGGTTCACCCTTGAATTGTGCATTTGCTTTTCAAGGGAGCCAATGGCTTCGCATTTGGAATAATTCCGGTCATTTTAGATCTGCTTACCTTCTGTTTCAAGTCTCCGGAGGCGCTTGTAGGTTTGAAGAGGTTGAGCGTGTTTGTTTGTTTAGTTCAAATCCACAAAAGTTGTGCTGCCTCAATGGGATTTTGTCGCGGTCCGGAGAACCATAGGTGGATTCTGCTGCGTGCCAGTACTTTTGAGTGCAGACATGATTCCTTTTGTGGAATGATGCGTCATAATGCTGCCTACAATGTAGACATGTTGCTAGAAATGGCAGTGCCTTTGCGTTCTGTCCTTCAACTAATGCAGCTTGTCAAAATTGATGCCGTGCAACTAGGATATACCCACTTTCTGACTAATTGCTTCGGCTGCAAGGTGCTTGATTGCTTGATTGGAGATTCAGCTTGTAGATCCATGTTTGATCGTTCTGGTTCCTTCTCATCCACTGCTCGGGGATAATAAGTCATCGAGGAGGCAAAAGGTTATCCTCCGGACCAACGGAAATTTGTTTGGGAAGGCAGCTTGATGATGCTTGTTCCCTCCAGGACTACAATAATGTAAACTAAAAGTACTATTCACCTCGTTTTGAAGTTGAGAGGCTGCTAAAGTGTTGACTTGACAGTCAAGCATTGAAACAACCTGAAGCTTGACTCTTGACTTTGGCCGGAAGTGGTACAAGCCCATCCCCCAATCTTCACATAGACATCTTACCAACTGCACCAAAAGGTTGATTAGGCAATTGCTTCACGGGGAAAAACACAAGCGGCCTTGCAGCAATTCATCTGGCACTGGGGGATTCTCAAAGGGCAGGTCTCGCCAGTTCTTGTGATGGGGATTTTGTATGCTCCGTTTATGCCAACTACGATCTTTGCCGCCAACCTGTGATGGACATTGCATCCCAGCCACAGGTGTAGGTTTGTTTGGTTAGAAATAGATGGCCGAAAGTTGGCAAGGGACATCCGCAAGTTTCGGCTTTGCGCTCCATAGGCTAGAGGAAACGGCGCCAATTGCTCAGTGTATGAGTGGTACGTGTGGCCTGTAACTGCGGATGTTTCTGCAATTCTGATGTACTTTTTAACACATAACAACCATGTGCATCCTCATCCTCATCATCCTCATCCTCATCATCCTCATCATCCTCATCATCCTCATCATCCTCATCATCCTCATCATCCTCATCATCCTCATCATCCTCATCCTCATCATCCTCATCCTCATCATCCTCATCATCCTCCTCCTCCTCCTCATCATCCTCATCATCCTCATCATCCTCATCATCCTCATCATCCTCATCATCCTCATCCTCATCATCCTCATCCTCATCATCCTCATCATCCTCCTCCTCCTCCTCATCATCCTCATCATCCTCATCATCCTCATCATCCTCATCATCCTCATCATCCTCATCCTCATCATCCTCATCCTCATCATCCTCATCATCCTCCTCCTCCTCCTCCTCCTCATCATCATCATCATCATCATCATCATCATCATCCTGATTGTTATCCTCATCCTCCTCCTCATCCTCCTCATCATCCTCATGATCCTCGTGGTTGTCGTCATTTGGCTACACACACACACATACACACCCACACACACACACACACAGACCCACACAAACTCGCTCCGCACGCACGTTTGCGGGGGAACACAAGCTTTGCATATTGTGACCAGGCGTTTTCGTTCTCCAGGCACTTGGTGGATCACGACGAGGAGCTAAAGGGCAGAATTACACTGGCAACATCCCTCGAGAGCCTCAAGGACAGAATCATTTCGCGTCTCCTTGGAATCCAATAATGGGTGCTTCACATTTGTTCTGCAAAGGAAGCACAAACAGGTTTTTGTTTGGTTTGACGTCAACGTTTGAAGGACAATCATTTGACACAGTGGCTCCTGTTGATTTTTCCTACGAATAGTGTGAGTAATTCTCCATGAACAAGAAGCACGGAGTTTTGAGAGTCCCGAAGGCTCCGAATGGGAGC